GTATTTAAGTACTATATATGTAATTATTTCATTTGCTTCTACAAAGCAAGTCTTAGTGGATGGGACAGATTCCTTAGCTAATTAATGCAACTGGAACTCGGTAAGAACCTGTAAAATAAAATAGCCCCCGGTTCAAAGACAGCAGGAAAAATTAATGTGCTCATAAAGATACTATAATATGCCCAATCTATAGTACACATGGCAAATCTATTAAGTAACTATTTGTTACTAGTAATGCTCATGTTTTACAGATAGCTGGATATCACAGAACGTTCTGTACCAATGTGTAATAAGGCTTAAAAATTCCTGTTCTGCTTCTTTTCTCAAGCTCCTAGTGTGAGAACTACTGATCTGTAAGGGTATCCTGTGCTCAATTAATTTCAGGATTAATGTTAAACAAAGGTTATTTATTTGCCAAATAAAAAATAATACAATTTTTATTGTTTATAGTTGTTTATTAAAAACAACTTTTTGTTTGCTGCTTTGAGGACTCAGGGTCATTTTACTGCTGTTCTGTTTCCCATTTCAGGAAGATCTTCAGGACAAGACTCCATATTTCCATCTATTTACACTGAATGGACAACAATGCCGAAACAAACACAGAATTACAGTAAGTTCACAAGCATGTAACAGATTCATCCACCACTACCACCAAACAACTAAGAGTGTGATAGTATTCTTTCCTCTTTAAGAGTAACAGAACAACAACAAACCAAAAATACACACATAAAAATGCCACACAGCAAAATACACATGCACCCACTGGAGTAAAGGAAACACTAACTTCTTTTTTAGCTTCCAGTGCTCTGTGATACTTCTCAGAAAGACGTTTGATGGCATAAACTTCAAGACATTCAAATACATGAAAAAGTAGCCATTACAAGTGATCTCTGCAAAGTGTTTTCTACAGTCCTATGACAATATAGTTCAGAGAAAATGAAGGGTTCTACTGAGACAAACCAACCAACTTAGTTGAAATGCTTGCTACTTGGCACACCAAATCTGCAAGCATCACCTCCCAGATACAAGTGTCCCTAAAATAAGGCTAAGAAGTAGAGAATACACTCCCCAAAAACTGTCACAGAAGAGAAGCTATAGCTCGGACTTCATTTGGACAGTTTTTTAACTGACTGGGTTCTCTCTTTCCTACAAAGTTACTGATTTTCCCATGTCTGCTTCCAGAACAGCAGCGGCTGTTCGCCGCATTTGCCATCACCACCACACCATGAGGCATAGCTTCCTCCGGGAATAATTACTCCTGCTGACTTTGAACACTGACAGACATTGCTCAGTGAGGTAACCACACTGCTAACATGCAAAGCCACAACTCAGGAGGGCTACTTTTTTTTTTTTAAGAAACAAATCATGATTGAGATCTTTACTAAGAGTTAGTTTCTAAGAAGTATGCAACTATATGAAACAACACTATAAGCTTTGCTATTTTAATGGACATATGGATGTTTATCTATTTGGTGGTTTTTTTTTTTATTAGCAGTCATCTTTCAATGCATATTGTGTAAAAGAGGTATGAGAATGGTAGAAGGAATGAGAAAATCAGGGCCATGTAAAATTCTTACATGTCTCTTTATGGGAAAATTGATCAAAACATTAAGCACCAAGGTCTCTCCAGATCTATCATATTATTAACAAAATATCAAGAAATGTATTCCCTTCTACATTAAAATTTTCTTTAAAATTTAATAAGCATAGTGGCATCACCTACTGGACCCAGTCACCAAATGGTCAATCTGTATCAACTTTTGCCATGATACTACAGCTTCACTCCAACAGGTTGTCTCACAGACTCTATCAGTGGAACAGTCTGCAGAATAGTCTGTTCCAGGTTGGCACAAGATGGTCTCTTCCCCATACTATCCTCTACAAGAGAGCAGTTTTGGAGGTTGCTATGTCACTGTTGCAAATATTGGCAAGCAGCTTGGGAAGCTCCATCCAGTAGGAGCACAAAGGAGAAAAACGAAGAGAGCTCTGGTCTGCATCCTCTGAGAGAGCTGCTTGATGTCAGCACTACACCCCAACCTCCAGCAAACCAACCCAAACCAGTGCCTAGCAAGTGAATACTCTGCAGCTGAAATCGCAATGCATAACATACTCCCTCCAGACACACGTGTTCCTTTGGCCTGCAAGCTGCATGTTGGGAGCATGTGCTTGGTTTGGCAAAGCAATGTACAGCTGACACAAGTTCTACTTATGTTCATAGCAATTTAAAGCTAAGATTCCAAGAGAGATGTTACAAAATCCAAGAAGCAGAGAATGTGGAGGGAATAAGAACATGTGTACATAAAAGGTAGAAAATACAAGGACAGGAAATTGTGAGAATAACTTGTAATCAAGCTCTGTATCTTGTAACTATACTACAACTACAACACAAGGCAGCTGAGTGAAGAGACAAGGAGCAGCAAAGGATATGTAAAACCCCAACACTCAATTGATCCCAAAATCTGGCAATTGTCATTGCCTTCCAGCTTGCATATCCCACACTGAGGTACAGGGCAGAATGGGTCAGGAACAGCTTATTCATGTATGTACCTAAAAATACTGTGTCTTCCGCATTCAGATCTTTTTGTTAAACATGTACTATAGAACTGGAAGAGATCTGAAGAGATTGCCTGCCCCAGTCTCTGACTCCAAAGCAAAAAGTTTGCCTTACTCATCCCCCACAGCACCACTGGAAGAATTCCACAACTCCCCTGGGTGATTTGCTCTACAGTTTCATAATATTAAAGCAAAGCAAGCCCAGAAAGGTGAGGATGAGATTAATTTGCAGATGGAGATGAAGGACAACCACCATTTTCCTACACATATGAATATTGTTACTGTGCCCTTAAGTATTTTTCAGAATAAGTACACTCAGTTCTACTATCCTTTCCTAGAAGGACAGGATTTTTAACCTCTGCTGTTCTTGCTATTTTCTAAACTTTGGTCAGTTATGTTATTTTTCTTAAAGCCTGCAGCTCAGAACCAATACGTCAGCTCTGAACAGAAAAGTAAGTAAGGCCCATGTTTCACATGCAACTCCCATACTAATAAACTGAATGGCTGCTTTCTTTTTGTAACATTGCTTTGTTAAAAGTTATTCTGCTTATGACCTGATTATAGACCTCATTACAGACCTCAGCGTAAGGCTTGACAAGTGACAAGGAAGCTGAATCAGTATGTATTTTGTATTGATACATTGGGTTTACTCTTTCCAAATATGCCTTATTCTTACTAAGAATATGAAGTTTAATGCTGTTCCCAGATTGCCCACAACCCCTCCCAGACTGGCATCAGTGTATTCCTTATGGTAAGGAATCCTTATTCCTTATGGTGCTAGCTCAATGAAAAAACAGCAGAGACTGACAATCCTACTGAGAGAAATAATGTCACCCCTTTTCTGTTCCAACTTGAGCCTGCACTCACATCTGCTTCCTCCTTGTGCTAGCACACCTATAGCACACAGATCAGGAACTCTTATCAGAAATTAATCCAACTGAAAGACAAACAGGTGAGGTGCCACCAAGCTACAGACTTAAGTCACTCATGAAAATACTGAACAGTACTAGATCCAGAATAATTCCCTGATGTACTTCACATGCACTTCATCCAACAACTTGGCACAATTTTTTTTTTTTTTTGTTTTCTTTTATTTAGAAGCTTGCACTGATTTTTGCTAACCACCTTATCCTGTTGATGCCTGCAAACTCAATTCTAAATAAACAAACATATCTGGTGTCCTTCCTGCTACCAAAACAGCTGCTAGTGAGTCTGTAAGTTTCCCAGGCTCTTCTCCTCCCCTTTTTTAAAGGCAAGCATTCTTTTTCCTTTCCTTTGGCTATCTTACCCACCCCTGAATTCTCAGAAACCATCACTGATAGCTAAAAAATTTTCTCAAGCTTCCTGGACTATTCCAGGGAGAATTTATCCAGGCTGTGCTAGCCTGAATACGTAAAGCTTTTAAATTACTTGCTAATTATTAGATGCCTACCAAAAATTAAGGACAACTGGGTGTAAAAACTTCATAGTGTTACAAAAAGTGACTCATGTTCCACTTGTGTGCATCATGTGGCATTTAAAGAGCCTCCTCATAAGCTACCCCATATAAATAGCAGCATTGTTAACATTGGTAATAATCTGTCTCCCAAACAAAGCAACACACTCACACACAAAGAGAAGAGACAAGAAAATAAGGGGAATGTCCCCTTCCTATCTGTATTGACACTGCTTTGGAACAATTACACGTTATGCTTTTCAGTCATTCCAAACTTAGGGCAACAAAACATGTCACATGGGGTAAAATCTGAAATTCACATAAGCAGTGACAACCCCATTACAGAATGAGCACGTTCCTCTACGGTGTTCATAGAGTCATAGAGCAGTTAGGGTTGGAAAGGACCTTAAGATTATCTAGTTCCAACCCCCTTGCCATGGGGTTGCCATTAGTGTGTAAAATACATATACATATAAATTAATTTATATTCATATTAATGTAGTACAGCCTGGAAAAGAGAAGGCTCCGGGGAGAACCTGCAGCAGCCTCCCAGTACTTGAACAGGCCGGCAAGAAAAATGGAGAGGGACTTTTTACAAGGACCCGTAGGGACAGGACAAGGGGGAATTATTTTAAACTGACAGAGATGAGACTGAGATCAGATAATAGGAAGAAGTTCTTCCCTTTGAGAGTGGTGGGACACTGGCAAAGACTGCCCAGAGAAGCTGTGGCTGCTGCATCCTTGGCAATGTTCAAGGCCAGGTTGGACAGGGCTTGGAGCAACCTGCTCTAGCGGAGGGTGTCCCTGCCTGTGGCAAGAACTAGGTAATCTTTTAGGTCCCTTCCAACCAAAACACATAAATATTTGTCATATATAACAAAACCTAGAACACACCCAATCTAAAACAAGAGATACAGTACTGAAATTCAAAGGCCGGTAAAATAGTCCTGAATCACTGGCTTATGTGGTCTCCAAACACCATTTTGGTTTTCACACTTCCACTGTTTCATACCTTGCGAATTTCCTCAGGCAGCGTGTAAATGGGGACGTGCCGCTCCATATCCTCCCAAAACTCGGCAGTGGTGTCAGGGAAGCTGCCGGAGGTCACACAGTTAGAGCCTGCCCTCAACAGCGGGACCGCACGTCTCCTCTGACCCACACACCCACGCTACAGGGGGCTCAGGCCAGTCCCCAGGGGCCTCCTCATGCCCGCACCGCCTGCTCAGAGCAGACTGGGAAGCAGCCGCGGCACGCAAGCCACGGCGGGGAAGAGAGGGAGGAGGGAACGACGACCCTCCCTGGGGCACGGTAGTGCTGAGCCCCAAGGCCCGGGACAGCCAAAGGGAAGCGGGGCAGGGGAAAGCGGCCGAGCGGCCATTTTCTTACCGCGGCTTCCTCCGTAACTACGGCAACGGCGCGCGGCGGCGCGTAGAGAGGTTAAGAGTTCCTGCCCAGCGCCCCGGCACAACTGACCGTCCCGAGGGGCAGTTCATAACGGGGAACGGGAGGAGCTGCGCTGCCGGAGCTGGAGCTGGAGCTGGCTAGTGAGGGGGGAGGAAAACGGCGCAAACGCCGATGTGGTTTCACTGCAAAGCCTTTGTTTCATGCGAGCTGTCACCCCAAAACCGACCCTCACGTCCAGGTCAGTTACGTGACAAAATGTGCGCAACCCCTGCGTGAAGTGGGTTTGCGCTGTCAGAAAACAAAAACAAAACCAAACAAACAAACAAACAAAAAAAAAAAGACAAGAAAAAGGGGGGGAGGTGGCCTGGGGGTCCTGGTGGACACAGGCTCAATAGGAGCGAAGAGTGTGGAGCTGTGGCAAAGCAAGCCAGCAGAATGCTGAGTCACTCAACCAAGGCATCAACCAGCAAAGATAAAGATGTTATTGTCCCACTCCACTCAGCGCTTGTCAAGCCACAGCTGGAATACTGTGTTCAGTTTTGGTCCCTGTTATCCAGATAAGATGTGGACAAGCTGGAGAGGGTCTCGAGAAAGGCCACAAAGATGATCCAAGGACTGAAAAGCTGTGTGATGGAAGACTCGGAGAGCTGCGATTGTTCAGCCTTGAGAAAAAGTGGCACAGGGGAGACCTTATTACCATGTTCCAGTATTGAAAGAGCAGCTACAAGGAAGACAGAGACTCCCTTTTTACAAGGAGTCACGTGGAAAAGATGGGGGGTAATGGGCACAAGTTAATCCTGGGGAGATTCCAGTTGGACACAAGAGGAAAATTTTTTAACAATGAGAACAATCAGCCATTGGAATAATGTCCCCAGGTGCATGGTAGATTCCCCAGCACTGGACATGTCTAAGATTTGGCTGGACAGGGTGCTGGGACATCTAATCTAGGTCATGCGTTGCCTAGAAAGGTTGGACCAGATGATCCTTGAGGTCCCTTCTAATATGAATTCTATGATTCTATGACTTACTGAAATCCACTTGGGTTCACAGCAACACAATAAAAATAAATCAGGAAAAGATGTGACAATCGGGAGTTTTCAGTATAACCCTGTTTCAATGGAATTCATTTCACATTCTACCCTTCCCTCCTTTTCATTGCTGATTATTTTACATACAGCCCCTTCAACGCAGGCCAAAAAAATGAGCTGCTGTTGAGACTCAGGCTTTCCTGCATCCCATCAGCAGTGTTTCAGCAGCCATCTGCTCCATGCCCATGCTCCCCAGCACACTTGGGTTTCTACATCTGAACCCGATGCAGACTTTTGAGGCTGTGGATGAGAGGCCATGAGTGCAGTTGGGCTGCTCACCAGAGCTGATTTCCTATATGCCCAAAGCATTTCCTACATGCCCAAAGCATTTTCTGTATGCCAAAGCAACCCTGACATGCCCAAAGCATTCCCTACAAGCCTTATATAGAAAGCTAGCACACCCCCCCCCAAGAAAATAATTAAGCAACAGCCACTAAAAACTGTAAAGAGGCCACCATGAAAAATGAGGCGACCTTCCACCAGCCTGGCTAACCTGATTTAATTTATGCACAACTCGCTCTTTGCTGCAAAGGTTCAGTCTCTGGGGCGGCATCAATAATGTTTCTCGGAGCAGTGCTGTGCAGCTGAGCAGAGGGGCAGGAGAGCTTGCTATTGGAGAAGACAGTGAATTTTATCGGAAAAAAGAGAAAAATGGGGGTGTTGATTGACAAGACGCTCATCATGACCTGGAAGTGTGTGCCTGCAGCCCAGAAAGCCAACTGTGTCCTGGCCTGTATCACCAGCAGCAGGACCAGCAAGTCAACAGACGGGATTCTTCCCCTCTACTCCACTCTCGTGAGACCCCACCTGGCGCACAGCATCCAGCTCTGGCACCCCCAACATGGACATAGACCTGTGGGAGTGAGTCCAGAGGAGGTAGATGATGCTCAGAGGGCTGGTGCACCTCTCCTATGGAGACAGGCTGAGAGAGCTGGGGTTGTTCAACCTGGATAAGAGAAGGCTCCAGGGAGATCTTACAGCAGCCTCCCCGTGCCTAAAGAGGCCAACAAGAAATCTAGATAGGGACTTATTACAAGGGCATGTAGGGTCAGGACAAGGGAAAATGGCTTTAAACTGACAGAGAGGAGATTTACATTAGATATTAGGTAGAAATTCATTACCGTAAGGGTGGTGAGGCACTGGCAGAAGTTGCCCAGAGCAGCTGTGGCTGCCCCATCCCTGACTGCGTTCAAGGCCAGCCTGGATTGAGCTTGGAGCAACCTGGTCTAGTGGAAGGTGTCCCTGCCCATGGCAGGGAGGTTGGAACTGGATGAGCTTTAAGGGCCCTTCCAAGCCGAACATGTCTGTGATTCTATGAAAACTGCATGAGTAAGAGCCGGGGGGTGCAGGGTGCCTGGCAAGGGAAGGCACCAGGCAGCCGGCGCTCTCCGTCACCCCCCGTCTCTGCAGCACGGTCCCACGAGTGACTGCCTTCCCCCACCCCGCCCTCGCGTGTGTTGCCGTCGTGACCTGCTCCACCTTGCGTGCCGGCCTCCGTGCTGCGCTGCATCGTTAATCCCCGGGTTGGCAGCAACCGGAGCCGCATGCCCCAGCCTCCCCCCCTCCTTCATTTAACCTTTTCCTGATCCCACGCGTGTGAAGGGCCGCTCGCCCCCCGCAGAGGCATTTAATTAAGAGCGACGTTAACAGCGAGATGGGGAAGGCAGCGGCTTTGATCGGCGGGAGAGCTGCGGGCGGGGGGGAGAGGGGGCGCCCGGCCGCGCCTTGCCGGCATATGTTCCCCCTGCGTGATGGCGGCGGCGGCAGCGGGGGGGGCTGGCGGGCTGGGCGCCCAGCGCCTCTCACGCGATGGCCGCCTATCGTGCCGGGGAAGGGTGTCGTGCGGCGCGGCGGTGAGATCAGCGCGGATCTCAGCGGCGGGGGCGGGCAGGGGCGGCAGTCACGCAGCGGCGGGAAAGGCGGTGAAGTAGTGACTGCTCCCTCCCTGGACCCTGCGGCACCCGCTGAGGGGATCTAGTCCGGGGGTTGGGGGGGGCGGGCGGAGGAGACCGTGTCCAGGGGGGTTAACGGAGCTTGTCCGGGGGGGTACTTTTCTTTGTCCTTTTTATGCAAGCATGTCAAAAGCATGGGGATTGGAACTAGATGAGCTGTAAGGTCCCTTCCAACCCAAACCATTCTGTGATTCTGTGGCTGAAGAGACCCTCTGCTAGGGGTGCTGTGGGGTGCTTATGCCCTGGTAGGAAGCATGGCGCAGAAGTTGCTCAGGCCACGCTCGGCTCTGAAGTGGTTCTTTCACCCCTGCAGGAAGCCCACACAGGATCCACACTCTTTCATGGGCCCTCCACCCCATCCATGCATCGGGGTGGCCCAGGACTCCAGTGGGTTGGTGGGGGTCTGCCTGCCTCTGCCAGGTTGCAGGGAGGCCAGCAGCGGTCCAGCCGTGCCTCATGGTGTGGTGTGGCGGCAGGCCTGCGTGCGTGCCAGCCTCAGTGACCGGGACCTCTGGGGATCAGGTTCCAGGCGGTGTGAGCAGCTCCAAGGACAAACGAACAGACAAGAAATGAGTGCGTGACAGGCAGCAGTCATGAGCCAGCTATTTCCATTGTTTTCTGGCAGGCTTTGTACCTTCTCAGACACACGTGGGAAGCCTCCTGCTGCTTAGAAATCCCAGCCCCCGGGGGCAAAGTCCATGCCCAGTGTGCAGCTATGGAAAAAGGCTAATAAACACTAACACTCTCTTCCCACAAAGCAGGAGCACCCGGGGTGTGTCTGTAAGGGTGAATAGGTGTGCCTGCACCTGCAGCCTTTCCTGGGTAAAAGAAATCTTGGTCTAGGCTGTCTTACCATTTGTTCAGTACAAAGATGAACACTGGGAAGTGGTTTTGCAGCGTTGTCTGTAAACATCTCCTCTGGGAGAACACTGGCGGTTCCAGTTTTGCTAGAGAGGAGCAGAGCTCAAACGCTTATCGCTCAGACTTGCAGTGCAGTAGGTAAGGGGGGGGGGGGGCGCGGAGGAGCAGGAGGGGTCCCTGTGCTGGGGCCTGCAAGCAGAGGCTGACACTAGGAGGAGAGATGGCAGGAGACGTGCAGAGGGAGGGGTCAAGGGAAGGACAGGGCTTGCACTGCGTAAGGCAGCGAGGTTATTTCTGGTGCTGCATGCACATTGTGTTTGTTCCCGTTTTCAGGCTGTTTTGTTTGTGAGATTTGTTTGGTTTGCTCTGCTCCCCGTCTTTGCAAATGTCACAAGGACGAGATCGTGGTGGGAGAGCAGCCTCCATGTAAGGATGTTTGGAGGAGGAATCTGAACATGAGGGTGACCTGGGCGTCAAGGTCAGGCAGGTCATTCTGCACAAAGGGGCAGCAGTGGAAATTCTAAGGCAGCGTGAAAATGGTAAACTCAGGAAAAGCATCAAGCGGCAGGGTACTGGCAGTACATGCAGAAAGGTAGGGGTGAGGTGATGGTACCAGACTCTGAAGGCACCGTGACATTAGCTGAAATAGAATGAAATAAGAGCATGCTAATGACAATGGAGCATGTGAGGCAGAGATCGGATCCTGGGGGAGGAGATCCCAGTACTCACTCTAGACAGTGCCAAATTAAAGTAAAGCTTTTGGCTTCAAGAGCACATGAGGTGAATCAGAGGAGGAATCTGTATGATTAAGCAGCAGCTGAGTGCCAGAAGTGAAAAGCTGTCAAGGATAATATCAGGAGTGTATGTGAGGAGGACAGTGTATTTATTTGCCATGGTAGAAAAGGATCTGAAAGGGAATACAAGAAGCTTATACTGAATCTGAGTTGGCAGCAAGAGAACTTGGGAAGGGTGCCAGGAAAAGTGTCACAGATACAAGGCTTCTGAAGTGAGAAAGGAATACGGAGTACAGAGGCAGCTTCAGCAGTCAGGTGGTTAGGAGTGCCCATGGAGAATAGGAGGGCACGGACAGCCACCTAGCAGGAAGTGATTTGGGGAGGGAATGACCAAGCAAAAGCCCTGGGAGGTTAGTGCAAAAGGTTCAAAGTTTTGTTCTTTATCTTTAAGGCATTCAAGGGCCTTGGCTCAGCATATCTGAAAGATCACCAAAATCTCTGGGATGATGATGATGGTGGCACTTCTGATGGCTCTGTGGGCAAAACAGAACTTTTACTGTAAGGGTGAGGTTCATCTGTGCCAGCCAGACTCAGCAGTTTCCCAGGGGCCTGCTAGGAAACATCCAGAGGAGCTCAAAAACACCATCAATCTTTCCCCTTCCCC